GTATAATCTGGTCTCAGGTTGGATTCTTTGGTACATTTCTTTCTTCTGGATGCCGTGCAGTGTAATTAAACCTTGCTTAAAAACAAAAAGTGAAAAATGTGTACTCTTGTGTGGAATACTGCCTTAAGTGGTGGCACAGAGAGGGGAGAAAACCTTTGCCTCATAATTTGGGTAAATGTAGTGGTTTGATTCCAGGTCTTTTGAAAAGGTAGATCTACTGACTTGGGCAGACTCATCTACAGCTTCCTGAGGGTCTTCTCTCCTCCCCTCCAGCTGTATTTTGAAAATTACAGTTCTAGTTGGCCGGGCGTGATGGTCCAGCGCCTGTAATCCCAGCACTTCGGGAGGCCAAGGTGGGTGGATCACTTAAGGTCAGGAGTTCGAGACCAGCTTGGCCAACATGGTGAAACCCCATCTCTACTGCAAATACAGAAATTAGCCGGTGTTGTAGCGCATGCCTGTAGTCCCAGCTACTCGAGAAGCCGAGGCAGGAGAATCGCTTGAACCCAGGAGGCGGAGGTTGCACTGAGCTAAAATCATGCCACCGCACTCAAAAAAAAAGAAAAAAAAATTACAGTTCTAGAGTTCTAGTTACCCTTCCTGGGAGATTCTGATAGACCTTATTTTATTATTTTTTATTATTTTTTTTTTGAGACAGGATCTTGCTCTGGAGTGCAGTGGTGTGATCATAGATCACTGCAGCCTCCAACTCCCAAGCTCAAGTGATCCTCCCACCTAAGCCTCCTGTGTAGCTGGGACCACAGGTGTGTAAATGTGCCTGGCTAATTTTGAAAATTTTTTTGTAAAGATGAGGTCTCCCTATGTTGCTCAATCTGGTCTCAAATTCCTGGGCTCAAGTGATCGTCCCATTTCGGCTTCTCAAAGTGCTGGGATTACAGGCATGAGACACCACACCCAACCAGTCCTTGTTTTATATTTCTACCTAACTCCCCTTTGTGCATGATTTTGGGAACCTAAGAGGCTTCCTGGCCTTGTGACCTTTTCCTTGAATCTCTTACAATTCTTTCTACCTGTGTTACACAGCAGATTCTCAAATTGAGGCTAAAGGAAAGAAGGGTGGGGACAAAGCATACAGAATGTGTGTATCTGTTTTTATATGGGTGTTGGCTGTTTTTCCTCACTGCTTTTTAAGCTGAATCTTGGCTGGTTTTCTTGAACTTTGCCTTTAGGTGTAAAAATTCAACCAGACACTCTCTCCTTACTGTGGTCAGCTGACATCATAACCACTAAGGCTTAATGAGCTTAACTTGCACTTTGATCACTAGCAAAGGTCTTGAAGTTATTTCTCTTCCTGATTCATAATGGGTGTGTGTATGAATCACTCTCACATAATTTAGATATAAAAACCTATGAGGATGAGGGAGGGAGGAGAGAAAAAAAGGATTCCTTTCATTTTCATCTGTACTTCGCAGATGGGCTGAATCCCTGATTATTTGACCCATCATTGTTATTAATATGGTTAATAAACTACTTGTTTATTGATTGAATTGTTCCTCCGATTTGAAATAGCCTGCAAATGGAGTTTGCCTAAATGACCTTCGACTTCCTAACCCTATAATTCATTCTGTCTTATTGTGATAGTATTGCTAGTACGTGTGTGTGTATGTCTACACACACACACAAAAGGATACCAGACAGGTTCTTCCAGTGTGATTTGATTCCTTATCCCTGATACTGTGTATGAGTTAGCAGGTGATAAGGACACTAGTTTCCTCCCTCCATTACTGAGGCAGAGCTGCTTGCCATGAATGTGCCTCTTAAGTATTTCCCAACCCAATCTAACCATGAACTGAGTGACCCACTGGAAGGAAGCTGCCTGTCTCCAACTTCCTAGTACTCTGCAAAGAGAGGTAAAGGAACTGTGGAAAATGAACTAGAACTAGAAATATGTTAACCTCAGGATTCTGACTGCCCCAGAGGATAACTGGGGATAAGCTTTGCCTCTGACATCACTGGAGCCCAGTCTGGATCATTTTCACACATAATTGAATTCATTCTCCACTCCTAGGTGTAAGGGTGTGAGACTTAAAGGAGTATATGCTCTCCAGTCACAAGTGTTTATGCACAGGGTAGATGTCCACTTGGCAAGAATGTCCTTTCCATTCCTTCAGCAAGCACTTATTGTACACTTTACTGTGTACCAGGCGTCTATGAAGATGAAAAGTCTTTTTTTGCCGGGCATGGTGGCTCATACCTGTAATTCTAGCACTTTGGGAGGCTGAGGCAGGTGGATCACCTGAGGTCAGGAGTTCGAGACCAGCCTGACCAATATGGTGAAACCCTGTCTCTACTAAAAATATGGGCGCCTGTAATCCCAGCTACTCAGGAGGCTGAGGCAGGAGGGTTGCTTGAACCCCGGTGGCGGGGGGGGGGGGCAGAGGTTGCAGTGAGCTGAGATTGCGCCACTGCACTCCAGCCTGGGTGACAGAGTGAGACTCCATGTCAAAAAAAAAAGTATTTTTTTTTTTGTTTTTTCCAGTTTGGAGATGGGGTCTCGCTATGTTGCTCAGGCTGTCCTCAAACTAGGCTCAAGGGATCCTCCCACCTCAGCCTCCTGAGTAGCTGGAATTACAGATGCATGCCACTATGCAAGGCTAAGACATGGTCTTTGACTCCAAGGAACTCATAGTAGACTTCAGGATAACTACCAGGAGAAGCCTATGCAGGGTATTAAAAGGCTTTATGAGAGTTAGCCAGGGAAGATGGAAGGTGAGTGACATTCCAGACACAGGAAACAGCAAAAACAAAGGCAAGAAACAAGAAGCAAGAAGCAAGAAACAATATGATGTGTATCCATCACGTTGCTGGAGGATCATTATTAGTGCAAAGGAAAAGCTTCAAGTAGATAACTTTTCAGTCCTGACATTCTGTGATTATTTGCCTGCTTCCACGGTGGTCATTTACACCTGTAGGCTTTTCTTGGACCACTGCTATGTTTCCTGGTGTTTTCTTTCTTTTCCTTTTTTTTTTTTTTCCTTGAGGCAGAGTCTTGCTCTCTCCCCCAGGCTGGAGTGCAGTGGCGTGGCCTCATCTGCGCTCACTGCAAGCTCCACCTTCCGAGTTCACACCATTCTCCTGCCGCAGCCTCCCAGGTAGCTGGAACTACAGGCGCCCGCCACCACCACGCCCGGCAAATTTTTGTATTTTAGTAGAGACGGGTTTCACTGTGTTAGCCAGGATGGTCTTGATCTCCTGACCTCATGATCCACCTGCCTCGGCCTCCCAAAGTGTGGGGATTACAGGCATGAGCCACTGCACCCAGCAGTTTCCTGGTGTTTTCATAGGCTCCAATATGCATGCTAAGTACTCATAGCTGCCTCTGCTTTCTCCTTGTAACCGAGGTAGGTTGTTTACCATAACCACCCCTTAAAGCTGGCTGGGCACACGTTACTATTTCAGGTTATTAAGGGCAATTCTTAGATGCCCATGTTATAAAAATATGAACAGTGAAGGTTGCTTCCTGAGTTCTGTTGTCCTACTAAGACATCAGAAATACCATCTAGTCCTTTTAAAAGCTTCCATTGTGGCCAGGAGCGGTGGCTCACGCCTGTAATCCCAGCACTGTAGGAGGCTGAGGTGGGCGGATCACGAGGTTAGGAGTTTGAGATCAACCTGGCTACCACAGTGAAACCCCCTCTACTAAAAATACAAAAATTAGCCAGGCGTGGTGGCGCGTGCCTATAGTCCTGGCTACTCAGGAGGGTGAGGCAGGAGAATGGCTTGAACCCAGGAGGTGGAGCACTCCAGCATGAGTGACAGAATGAGATTCTGTCTCAGAAGAAGAAGAAAAAAAGCTTCCATTGTGTGGTAACTTTCTCCATTCCTGACAGCCCATTCTCTTCACTTTTGGAGTTTTCAGCTGCTAAAAAGCCTTCACAAAATGTACTCCACCATCTCTTCCTGTTTAGAATCTGAATCTGTCTAACCATCCCCCTATGATAACGTGGTCAAGAGTTTGATGTTCTGTCAGAGTTCAGAGTTAAAATTCTAGCTTTTCCACTTACTAGTTGTGTGACCTTGGGCAAGTTTTCTCAACTCCCCTCTACTGTAGTTCCCTCATTTGTAAAATGAAATAACACCAGCTTCGTGGGGGTGCTTGTGAAGATTAATAAGCTGATGTAGGTAAAATACTGAGCACAGTCCCTGGCATACACTTAAGCACTCAATATTGGCTCTCTTCATGAACTAGGTACCAATTAACTGATGATCGTAATATTGTTGCTTTCCTCTTTCTAGGCTTTATGGCTCTATTTTATTTGTTACTGAGGGGTAAAAGATAAATGTTTACCATCACCTAGAATTGGGTTCTGGCCTCTAAAGGAGCCTGAGGCTTAGATGAGTTATTGGCTTTGGAAGCTGGCCTCCAAATTACTGCGCTAATTTATATTTTTCATTAAAAACTCAGCTTGCCTCTTCTATATAGCTGTCTTTCCTGGCCCTGAAACCCTAGTGTTTCGCCATAAAGGATTTTAAAATTAAGGGGTCATAATTCTCTCCCCACGATGTGTGGATTAATGGTAAGAAGGTGCACAGAACATAATATTCTTACGTTGAACGAAATAAAAGCAAAGATTTGGCTGTTTCTCACCTTTGAAGCATGAATCAAGAGATACTATGATGAAGCATAGTTTTTCTTTATATAGGTGTGTAGAACTTTACCAAAAAAATCACTAGTTCAGCCATCAGTAGATCTGGATCCTAGGCTTTTCGCTGTCACCAAGATGCTGTGACCTCTAACCTTGTATACAGGTTTGCTTTGTACCTTGCGAGGTTGAGCATTAGAGAGTTAAGTAAAGTGCCTAGCATCATACCTGGTGCACAGAACCCAAAACGGTAGGTATCATGTAGCAATTCTGAAAATCTAGCCCATCAGGATGATGCAAATGGGTGCGTTCGGCAGTGAGAAGGGGAACCACATCTTGACACATCCAGTCGAAGGAAGAGCGCGGAAGTAGAGTCGCGCGGCAGCAAAGACTACGCCTCCCACCGTGCTTTGCGGCGGGGCCGGCCCGTCTTGCCCAGAGTCGCCCTGCAGCGATCGCGCGTCTTTCCACCGAGGCCCCGGATGTAGAGTCCCTCCCACCCGTTCAGTGGTCATGGCCTCACAGTGACGCTAAGACTTGGGGCTCTCTCATTGGCTGTAACTCTTCTACTGGATTGGAAGCAAAAAAAGAGGCGGTGCACAAGGCGAACGGTGCCTGTGACTACAGCCAATCAGAAGCGAGGCCGGGCTTTGGCGGGAGGTGGGAACACTGTGGCCATTCGAATTTGGCGCGAGCGCGGTTGTGTTTTGCTGCTGCCGGTGTGCAGTTTGTTCAGGGGCTTGTGGTGGTGAGTCCCTGAGCCTGCGTGTGAGAGACGTGAGAAGGATCCTGCACTGAGGAGGTGGGAAGGGGAGGATTGCTCGAGGAGGCCTGGGGTTTGTGAGGCAGCGGAGTTGCTTGAAGGCTGCGGGTTCCGGCGAGGCCCGAGGTAAAGTGAAGGTAAAAGAGCTGAGCTCGCTGGCGGTCTGAGGTCAGGATCAGGGAAAGGGCAGGTGCCCTCAGGGTAGTTATAGCAGTTGTGCGTGGTGTGAAGGAGCTGAAAGTTGTAGGAAGGAAATATTCTGGGGTGCGTTGAGAGCTGCCTAGAATGAGGACTGAGTGCAGAGGCGGAGAGAACTGAGGGAAGACTGAACTGTAGTGTGAGGACTTGGGAGAGAAGAGACTAAATGTGGCGGATGCTGGGCTGAACTGGTGATAAAGACACCCCGCGTTCCTGGAGAGAGGGAATTAGAAGTTCTATATAAAAAATCAATTCATGACTAAACCTTGGTTTTTTTTTTTTTTTTTTTTTTTTTTGTTTGGACGGCGGGTCTCGCTCTCGATCGCCCAGGCTGCGAATGGCAGTGGGCGCCGATCTCCGCTCAACTGACTGCAACCTCCGCCTCCCGGTTTTTCAAGCGAACTCCTGCCTCAGCTCTTGAATAGGGCTGATACTACAGGCGCCCGCCACCACGCCCGGCTAATTTTTTTTTTGAGGGAGCGGTCTCGGCTCTGTCGCCCATGCTGGATGGTGGGGCGCGGATCTCGGGCTATCACTGTGCAAGGCTCCGCTCGCCTCCGGGTTCACGCCATTCTCTGCCTTCAGGCCCCCGGAGTAGCTGGGGACTACAGGCGCCGCCATGCTGCCCGTCGGCTAGTTTTTTGCCATTTTTAGTAGAGAAGGGGATTTCACCGTGTTAGCCAAGGCATGGGTCTCCGGATCTCCTGACCTCGTGATCCACCCGCCTCGGCCTCCCCAAAGTGCGGGTTACAGGGCGTGACCACGCGGCCAGCCGTAATTTTTGTATTTTTACTACAGATGGGGTTTCACCATGTTGGCCAGGCTGGTCTCGAACTCCTGACCTCAGGTGATCCGCCCGCCTCGGCCTCCCAAAGTGCTGGGATTACAGGCGTAAGCCACCACGCCCGGCCTATTTCAGGTAACTTCTTATTGCATGGCTCAATTGGTTAAGAACTTGGGCTCTGGCGCCAGAATGCCTGGGGTTACATACCTGTTTTTCTGTGACTTTGGGCTACTGTTTATCTCAGTTTTCTCATGTGTAAAATAAAGGCTAATAGTAGTACCTACCTCTTTAATATAATTGTTAAACGAATTGGTACCTAAAGTGTTTATAACAGCGGCTTCCACGTAGTAGGTAGACAACAAATGTCAGCTGTTCTTGCATAGATTTGGATGTGAAGCAAAACTGAATGCTAAAATATTGTGATAACATAATTAAGAAATAAGTGTTAATCATCAGTATAAATTTATTTATTCTCTTCACTTTCACATATTGACTAGTTGTCCTGTTATTTTTTTTTAATCTAGCTGTGCTGCCATCATGCCTCAAACCCGATCCCAGGCACAGGCTACAATCAGTTTTCCAAAAAAGAAGCTGTCTCGGGCATTGAACAAAACTAAAAACTCAAGTGATGCCAAACTAGAACCGACAAATGTTCAAGCTGTAACCTGTTCTCCTCGTGTAAAAGCCCTGCCTCTCAGCCCCAGGAAACGTCTGGGTAAACCATCCATTATATCACCTTTTCACTAGCAGCTCGTGACCTTTCTTTTCTCAGTAAGATGTGTGTCCTTTGAAGGAGCTTTCTAAGTTCAGTTAAGACTTTTTTTTTTTTTTTTTGAGACAGTCTTGCTCCATCTCCCATCCTGGAGTGCAATGGTGCGATCTCAGCTCCCTGCAACCTCTGCCTCCCAGGTTCAAGCGATTCTCCTGCCTCAGCCTCCCAAGTAGCTGGGATTACAGGCGCCCACCACCACGCCTGGCTAATTTTTTTTTTTTTTAGTAGAGACAGGGTTTCGCCATGTTGGCCAATCTGGTCTCTGACCTCCTGATCTCAGGTGATCCACCTGCCTCAGCCTCCCAAAGTGCTAGGATTACAGGCGTGAGCTACGGCTCCTGACCCTAAGACTACTCTTCATTTGAGTTATTTTCAGAATGGTTGCTAAGTGCTTACCAAACTCCAGAGTTAAGCCACTTACTGAAGTCACTTTCTGAACTACTTAATAGGTCTGATCTTCAATTCCTTAATGCTGAAATTAGTTCTGTCAGTGTTTTAAGTTACCTTGTAGTTACACGGTATTATGAAAGTTAACCTCAATATTTGTGAAATTAAAAGAAACAAAAAGGTGACATGCTGGATATTTTCCGTCCTTTAGAACAGTGATTGGTAATTCTTTCTTGTTTTGGAACATTTGTTTTTAAATGGGGGGGTGATTTGGTTGTTTCTGGAGACATGTTTGGTTGTTACAGCTGGGTGTTGCTACTGGCATAGTGGGTAGAGGCCAGGGATGCTGCTAAACATTACAATGCACAGGACAGCTCCTTGACAATGAAGAATCATTTGGTTCAAGATGTCAGTGGTGCCAACATTGAGAAAACCTGTTTCAAAACAGCCTTACAATTTCATCCTGGTAAAACCCGTTTGGTTTCTACTAAATGCAGTAGTCCTCACTTATCTATGGGGGATACATTCCAAGACCCCCAGTGGATGCCTGCAATTGAGGATAGTACCAAACCCTACGTATACTGTGTTTTTGATCTGATAACCAAGCCAGCTACTAAGTGACTAGTGGGTGGATAGCATATACGGTGTGGATATGCTGGCTGAAGGGATGATTCATGTCTCTGGTAGGATGGTGTGGGATTTCATCATGGTACTAAACTGCATGCAATTTAAAACTTGTCAATTGTTTATTTCTGGAATTTTCCATTTAGTATTTTCAGACTGAGGGTAACTAGAACGGTGGATAAGGGCACTACTGTAGTAAGATCAGTGGTGCCATCTGGTGGCCAATATTTGCTGCTAAGTGAGAAGGCATTTTATGTTGGTGGTTCTAAGGTAGAAATTCACCTCTTTCTGGGAGAGGCAGAGGTCTTGCACATCCTTTTACTATCCAATGCTATGACTGACTACATTTTGATTTTATTATGTTTCAGGTGATGACAACCTATGCAACACTCCCCATTTACCTCCTTGTTCTCCACCAAAGCAAGGCAAGAAAGAGAATGGTCCCCCTCACTCACGTACACTTAAAGGACGAAGATTGGTATTTGACAATCAGCTGACAATTAAGTCTCCTAGCAAAAGAGAACAAGCCAAAGTTGACCAAAACAAAATACTTTCTTCAGTTAGAAAAAGTCAAGAGATCACAACAAATTCTGAGCAGAGATGCATATTGGAGAAAGAATCTGCATGTGTGAGACTATTCAAGCAAGAAGGTTTGTTCTTCCATGGCAACTGTTAGTGCAGCCATTGTAACCAAGGCTGATGACTCCAAATGAACCACCCAGTGGGTCTTCTCAGTCACCTTCTGTTGTGTCTAATTGACCTTTTATGTCTGGCACAGGCACTTGCTACCAGCAAGCAAAGCTGGTCCTGAACACAGCTGTCCCAGATCGGCTGCCTGCCAGGGAAAGGGAGATGGATGTCATTAGGAGTTTCCTGAGGGAACACATCTGTGGGAAAAAAGCTGGAAGCCTTTACCTTTCTGGTGCTCCTGGAACTGGAAAAACTGCCTGCTTAAGCCGGATTCTGCAAGACCTCAAGGTATATTGAGAGTCTGAATTATGATGCTCTTGGTAAATGATACTTGGGTGTTTTGTTTTTGAAACAGGGTCTCACTCTCTTGTCCAAGCTGGGGTGCAGTGGTGTGATCTCGGCTCACTGCAGCCATGACCTCTTGGGCTCAGGTGATCCTCCCACCTCGACCTCCTGGATAACTGGGACTACTGGCACTCACCACTATGCCCAGCTAATTTTTTGTAGAGACAGGGTTTCACCATGTTGCCCAGACTTGTCCTGAACTCCTGAGCTCAAGCAATCGGCCTGCTTCAGCCTCCAAAGTGCTGGGATTACAGGTGTAAGCCACTGTGGCTGGCCAGCACTTAGTTTTTAAGAGTTAAGAAAGAGGGCTAGGCACAGTGGCTCACACCTGTAATCCCAGCACTTTGGGAGGCTGAGGTGGGCGGATCACCCGAGGTCAGGAGTTCGAGACCACCTTGGTCAACATGGTGAAACCCTGTCTCTACCAATAATAGAAAAAAAAAATTAGCCGGGGGCCGGGCGCGGTGGCTCACGCCTGTAATCCCAGCACTTTGGGAGGCTGAGGTGGGCGGATCACCCGAGGTCAGGAGTTCGAGACCACCTTGGTCAACATGGTGAAACCCCGTTATCTACTAAAAATACAAAAATTAGCCAGGCATGGTGGCGGGCACCTGTAGTCCCAGCTCACTCAGGAGGCTGAGGCAGGAGAATCACTTGAACCCGGGAGGCGGAGCTTGCAGTGAGCCGAGATCGCGCCACTGCACTCCAGCCTGGGCAACAGAGTGCAGACTCTGCCTCAAAAAAAAAAAAAAAAAAAAAAATTAGCCGGGTATGGTGGCAGGTGCCTATAATCCCAGCTACTTGGGAGGCTGAGGCAGGAGGATCACTTGAACTTGGGAAGCAGAGGTTGCAGTGAACTGAGATTGCACCACTGTACTCCAGCCTGGGTGACACAGCAAGACTCCATTTCAAAAGAAAAAGGAAAAAAAAGAGTTAAGAAAGAGTAGGCCTGGTGTGGTGGCTCACGCCTCTAATTCCAACACTTTGGGAGGCTGATGCGGGTGGATCACCTGAGGTCAGGAGTTCAAGACCAGCCTGGCCAACAGGGCAAAACCCCATCTCTACTAAAAATACAAAAATTAGCTGGGTGTGGTGGTGTATCCCTGTAATCCCAGCTACTTGGGAGACTGAGGCAGGATAATCACTTGAACCTGGGAGGCAGAGGTTGCAGTAAGTTGAGATTGTGCCATTGCATTTCAGCCTGGGCAACAGAGTGAGACTCTGTCTCCAAAAGAAAAGAAAAGAAAGAGTAGAAGTTTCGAAGATTGAAGGTTTCTTCAAAACAAGACATTTGTAATTTCGTTGTTTAAATCTTTCCAAATGAAAGTAGAGCTTCCTTACGCGCTGTTAGCTCTTCAAAGACATTTTAGGCTCTATCAGATCTTTATTTTCTGAGGCCAAAATAACTACCATGTTTGCATTTTTTTTCCAGAAGGAACTGAAAGGCTTTAAAACTATCATGCTGAATTGCATGTCCTTGAGGAGTGCCCAGGCTGTATTCCCAGCTATTGCTCAGGAGATTTGTCAGGAAGAGGTATCCAAGCCAGCTGGGAAGGACATGATGAGGAAATTAGAAAAACATATGACTGCAGAGAAGGGCCCCATGATGTAAGTATTGTTCTGCTTCATGTTGCTCTGTGAAAATCTGCAAGGTCTGTTGCCCATAAAAAGTACATTTTGTATATTTGCTCTCTGAAGGATAGTTACATAAGCTTAAAGGGAAAGAAGAGAAGGAAGATACACCTAATTTTAAATTGGATTACTTGTAGATGATGTGGAGTATCCTTGTAACAGTAACTAGAGATAGGATAGATTATGATCTTTAAACTGGTCTGAGCTTTAGGAAAGTGACCTGAAGACAGCCTATACCAAACATTAGAGGGTTAGGAAGGTGAATATGGATCCTAACTGTTTCTCTTTTTATAGTGTGTTGGTATTGGATGAGATGGATCAACTGGACAGCAAAGGCCAGGATGTATTGTACACACTATTTGAATGGCCATGGCTGAGCAATTCTCGCTTGGTGCTGATTGGTTAGTGCTCAATTGTTAATGTTACGTGGTGGTTTTAAAGTTTTTTTTTTTTTTAATATATATTCAGCTTATTTATCAACTATTTTATCTTAAACCAGCTTTCTGCCTTGTCAAAATAGAAAGTTAAATGACTAGGTACATCTTACCTAATAGATATATCTTATCAATTGGGATGGGGTAGGAGACAACTGTGAAGCAACATTAAGATGCTAGATTCTATAACTGGAAATTTATTTAGCTTTCAGAGGATTTAGTTTTCCCTTTAGGATAATGTGACCAATGATCAATGTTGTTGATCTCCTCCTTAGGTATTGCTAATACCCTGGATCTCACAGATAGAATTCTGCCTAGGCTTCAAGCTAGAGAAAAATGTAAGCCACAGCTGTTGAACTTCCCACCTTATACCAGAAATCAGATAGTCGCTATTTTGCAAGATCGACTTACTCAGGTCAGTGCCAACTATTTTGCCAAATTATGTGTTTCTTGGATCACCTGTGCTAGGAAAATTTAACAATAGTTTTAAAATATTTTTGCCTTGATTGCTTTATTAATGGAGCAAGAAGTTCCTGTGGACCATAGTGAGAACATTTTTATGTGAATTTCTGCTTCATTCATTTACTGGGTTTCTCAGTGTTGAAATAAAATCAGGAGTTAGAGGAATTTTGAGATGGAGTTTTGCTCTTGTCGCCCAGGCTGGAATGCAATGGCATGATCTCGGCTCTCTACAACCTCTGCCTCCCGGGTTCAAGCAATTCTTCTGCCTCAGCCTCCCGAGTAACTGGGGTTACAGCACCTGCCACCACGCCCAGCTAATTGTTATATTTTTAGTAGAGCTCGGGTTTCACCATGTTGGCCAGGCTGGTCTCGAACTCCTAACCTCAGGTGATATGCCTGTCTCGGCCTCCAAAGTGCTGGGATTACAGGTGTGAGCCACTGTACCCGGCCTCAAGTGCTTTCTTTAATGACTTTTAAAAAGTAGGGCCTATGAAAAAACTTTTTCTGTTGAAAGTAACTAAATAGATATTTTATTTTTGCTAATTTCAGTTCTGATTGCTTTTTTTCCATTTATGAACTTCTACCACATCCGTACAAAATGCTTAAATGTGTGAAAACTCTCAAATATCTCCATTATTTATGAGAAGAAAAGGCATCTTTTTGACCCTAAAGAGTTGCCAATCAAGTTTAGGGTTAAATGTGAAAATATTTATGCTTGGGACATAAATTACCGAGGGAGAATCCTATAGTTCAAACTGTCATATTCTATGTCTTGTCTTAAGGTATCTAGAGATCAGGTTCTGGACAATGCTGCAATTCAATTCTGTGCCCGCAAAGTCTCTGCTGTTTCAGGAGATGTTCGCAAAGCACTAGATGTTTGCAGGTGAGTTATGGCACTGTTGCCTCCTTTTATTAAAAAAAAAAGAAATGCTGTTAATTGTCTCATGTAACTCAAGTGAATGTGGCTTAAGAGGCTCTGTTCTGCTACTTTTTTACGCTCAGAAAGGAGGACTTGTTTCTCAGTGGGGAGCTCTGGATTTCCACCGTGTTAATGTCTGAAACATTATCAGTCCATTACCTACAGAGGGAGAAACAAATGAGATGTTGCTGGCACTCCCTGTGGTGATTATAGATTGGTTAATTACATTTGTATTAAAAAAGACTCCAGTTTACTTTTCCATTAGCTGGTCTCAAGCAGGTTTATTTATGGACCTGAACCATCTTTGCCTTTAGACTTTTTCCCTTCCTTTCCTTTTGTGAGCACCCCTTCTTCCCTCCAGTTGGTGGTCCCCCATAGTTGTACTCCAGACCTCTTTCTCCCTTCCCATCCCCCTGCCCCTCCTGCTGGGGAAAGCCTCTGTGCTGACTGATGAAATTTCTTCCTTCCCAGTAGGGACGCTGGGTCCATTAAAATGATACTTGCTGTGCTGGCCTGCTGGTCCAACCTCCCACTATTGCCATGCAGAAGACCCAGGTCTGGCTTATGGCTTCCTGTGGGCAAAGTACTTTGGAGAGAGCAGTGGGAGAGTAAGCTCTTCCTATTGCTAGATTGCATGATCCTGAATTTGAAAGTTTCCCCTAATCAGCAAACTACTTGGGTAAAGACTGCAACTATGAGCAATAGTCATGTAGGCTAGGGTGGTTTAGCCTACACATATCCTATGTATTTATAACTGAAGATATCTCTTTTAGGTTTGGTGTGTATGGGTGGTGCTGGCTCCCTTTAGTTAGTCACCCACACTACATATCCTCTCTCCTACCCATGACATTTTCTCCTCATCCAAGATGTTATCATTGGCTTAATGTATGATGACCTACTTGGCATCTATTAGGAGGAAACTATTGAAGTTTCTCAAATCTGACGTCCATGAATTATTTCAAAGCAATTAAGTCCCCTTATCTGAGAAATAACCCAGTTTTGTTTAGGGGCTTTAAAATTACAAAACATCATAATTTTAAAGTTAGACATAGGATATGTATAGGCTAAACCATGTTAGCCTACATGACCATTGTTCATAGTTGCAGTCTTTAAGCAATGGTCATTAATGTGCCTGCTTTTGAGGCTGATGGTTTGGTATGGTGTTTGGTTTGGCTCACACTAAATTAATTTTAGAAATTTTTTTTATAGGAGAGCTATTGAAATTGTAGAGTCAGATGTCAAAAGCCAGACTGTTCTCAAACCACTGTCTGAATGTAAGTAGTTTATCTTCTTCTTGTCTTCCTTTGTAACTGGAAGCTTAGCTTTTCTGAGGAAAGAGGTAAAAAGATGAAATGAACATAGTTAAATCCAAAATCACCCATTTTTATGTGTGTCTGTGTTTTTAGTCTGTTTCATCTACTTTATTTCGATCTTGCCTGCCAGTACTATAGTTCATGCATTACTGGAAATGAGTTCCCAGGGTATTGCGTAAATGGCTGGGACAGAGTAAGTTTTCTTTCCAAGCTCTAGAAATGAAACTTGTAGACAATGAGGTTGGATCAGCTCTCTAGGTGCTTATGTTGCGTGCACTTTAGGTCTCAATATAGGTGAAAGCAAAGCCTGATAAATAAGGGAGAATTGGGTAAAAGAATTGTGAGGCCAGAGGCCCGGCGCGGTGGCTCAAGCCTGTAATCCCAGCACTTTGGGAGGCCAAGACGGGAGGATCGCTTGAGCCCAGGATTGTGAGACCAGCCTGGGCAATATAGTGAGACCTTGTTTCTACAACAAAATTTTAAAAATTTTGCAGCCATTAGAAATATGAGTTCATATCCTTTTTAGGGACATGGATGAAGCTGGAAACCATCATTCTCAGCAGAGTAACACAGGAACAGAAAACCAAATACCACATGTTCTCACTCATAAGTGGGAGTTGAACAATGAGAACACATGGATGCAGGGAGGGGAACATCACATGCCGGAGCCTGTCAGGGGTGAGGGCCAAAGGGAGGGAGAGCATGCCGGACTTAAAACCTAGATGAGGGGTTGATGAGTGCAGCAGGCCATCATGGCACATGTATACCTATGTAACAAACCTGCACATTCTGCACATGCACCCCAGAACTTAAAGTTAAAAAAAAAAAAAAATTAGACAAGCATGGCGTGTGCCTATAGTCCTAGCTACTTGGGAGGGTGAGGCAGGAGAATCACTTGAGCCGGAAAGGCAGTGGTTGCAGTGAGCTGAGATCGTGCCACTGCACTGCCAGCCTGGGCAACAAAGTGAGACTCTGTCTCAAAAGAATAATAAGAAGAAAAATTATAAGTTCAACTTGGGATAGATATCTCAAGCTTTTAAAGAAGTCTAGAGGGTAGAGGTAAAAATATCATGCTGCTACAGTAAGCTACACGCTATCACAAATGACAAAACTAATTTTCCATTCCCTCAGCCCTGTTGTTTCGGTTGTGGCAAATGTAAAATGGCCATGAACTACATATCTTACAGTATTTGATATCCAGTGTTAGTCTTTATAAACAGAATAATAAGATTTGATTGTTTCTTTTTCACTCCTACACTGGCTGGGAGTTAGTAAAATTGTTTCTGGCATTATAGTTCTGCATGAAATTCTTTCTTTTTTTCATCAATTTGCTGAAATAAAATAATTAAAAATATTTCAGAAGTGGCCAAAAATAGTGCTTAGGCTAATAGTAGGCAATATATACCAATGTATAGACTTAGATACTGGTTTCTTCTTCCATTTCAACTTTTCAGATTATTCCCTTTTCCTCCTTTTTCCCCACCAGTAACATTTAGGCTTGTCACTGGCCCCTGTGAGCACCACTAGCACAAACATAATTAAAAGAGGTAAAGAGGTTGTAAGTTCTATCTTTTGACTTCGGGTTTCTGTGGGATTGGCTTTTTTCTTTTCCTTTTTTTCTTTTTTCTTTTTCTTTTTTTCTTTTTTCTTTTTGTGTGAGACAAGATCTTGCTCTGTCTCCCAGGCTGGAGTCCAGTGTGCAATTATGGCTGGTGCGATCATGGCTCACTGCAGCTGCAACCTCCCAGGCCCAAGCAGTCCTCTCACCTCAGCCTCCCCAGCTCCAGCTACTGCTAATTTTAAAATTTTTGTAGAGTCAATGGGTGGAGGAGTCTCCTTATGTTGCCCGGGCTGGCGCAAACTCCTGGGATGAAGTGATTCTCCTGCCTCAGCCTACCACAGCTTTGGAATTACAGGCATGAGCCACCATACCAGGTTGAGATTGGCTTTTAATGGCTCCAGAAAGCTACAGGGAGAATGACTTCAACTAAATATAAGAAGAAAATTTCTAATAACTAGAACTAACTGGGCTTCCTTGAAACATAGTGGGTTCTCCAGCATTGAAGATATTCAGACAAAAGCTGGATAGATGCCACTTGTTGAGATTGTTTTAGAGAGGACTCGGCCATTGGGTAGGGAGTAAAAATAGACTTCTAAATTCCTTTCAGTTTTAAGATTCTCTTACTTGATCTGTGATCTCCGGTTTCTCCATTAGTCCTCTGCAGCATCCCTTTGTGGTAATATAATATTATAGAAGTAAATTGTTGTGGGACAACTGCAAGTGATTTCAGGAAGTAACTTCAGGCAAAGGTTATTACAGAGCACGTTTCTCTGTCTTGAAATTCATGCATCTCCAAACGATGAGGCCATAGTCTTTTTTTTTTTTTTTTGAGACAGGGTCTTGCTCTGTCACCCAGGCTGGAGTACAGTGGCGTAATCTTGGCTCACTGCAACCTCCTCCTCCCAGGCTCAAGCCATCCTGCCACCCCAGCCTCCTGAGTAGCTGGGACCACAGGCACACACCACCACACCCCGCTGTTTTTTTGTATTTTTAGTAGAGATGGGGTTTCACCTTGTTGCCCAGGCTGGTCATGAATTCCTGAGCTCAAGCCATTAGTTATTTTTCCTGATCCTCTCCCTCCACCCTCCTATAGGCCCCAGTGTGTGTTGTCCCCTCTGTGTGTCTACGTGTTCTCATCATTTAGCTCCCACTTAGAAGTGAGAACATGTGGTATGTGGTTTTCTGTTCCTGCAGTAGTTTGCTAAGGATATAGTCTTATGCAGCTTATTGGCAATTTCCCAACCCCTGGCTTTTATTAAGATGATGGTATCTGACCAGGCATGGTGGCTCACGCCCATAATCTCAGCGCTTTGGGAGGCGGAGGAGGGCAGATTGCTTGAGCTAAGGAGTTCAAGACCAGCCAGGGCAACATGATGAAACCCCATCTCTACAAAAAATACCAAAAAAAAAAGATGGTGCTATCTGCTAGCATATGTAGTGACATTTTCTCAAGTGTTGCTCTACTGCTGATCAGCTTGGGCAAGTGAACCAAACCTCAAAGGTCATTTGGGGAAGCCCTCTGAAGGACTGATATGGCAGTGACTTCACTCGCCACATTTAGCCGCTCATTTGATCCAAAATATTAGGGAATTTTCCAAACTTTTTTCCTTTTTTTTTTTTTTTTTTTCAAGACGGAGTTTCACTCTCGCGCCCAGGCTGGAGTGCAGTGGCACGATCTCGGCTCACTGCAACCTCTGCCTCCCGGGTTTAAGTGATTCTTCTGCCTCAGCCTCCCAAGTAGCTGGGATTATAGGCACCCGCCACCACACCCAGCTAATTTTTTGTATTTTTAGTAGAGACGGGGGTTCACTGTGTTGGGCAGGCTGGTCTCAAACTCCTGACCTCAGGTGATCTGCCCACCTTAGTCTCCCAAAGTGCCAGGATTACAGGCATGAGCCACTGCACCCAGCCTTTTTTTTTTTTTTCCTTTCTTAATTACCAAGCACAGTCACCATATTTGCTTCAAGGTTCTGTTATTCTGTACCTCTGAGATACTAGGAACTAGCCTGGCGTGGTGGCATGCACCTGTAATCCTAGCTACACAGGAGGCTGAGGCGGGAGGATCACTTGAGCCCAGGAAGCCAAGGCTGCAGTGAGCCATGCTAGTGCCACTGCACTCCAGCCTGAGCGACAGAGATCCTGTCCCCGCCCCCCCCGGCCAAAAAAAAAAAAAACAATAGTTCTCTGGTCCTTTCATGAGGTGGGTTTTGTCCCTCTGACATTAAATTACATTCCATAAGACAAAATAGCTCACTATTTGGCCCAGAGAAAGGGTAACCCTATTTTCAAGTCATCCCACATTATTTTGACATCTTTAAGAGAATAGCGTTATCTCTCATCCTTTGGCCTCTGGTTAGAGAGAACCTCTGCTTTGCCACCATGTGACCGTACTTGAATTTCCTTTAGCTCAAACTTAGTATCATCCGTCTCATCATGCATACACACACACAATATTTTAGAAAACGAATTAAGCTTGACTTATTTACTTTATAGGTAAATCACCATCTGAGCCTCTGATTCCCAAGAGGGTTGGTCTTATTCACATATCCCAAGTCATGTCAGAAGTTGATGGTAATAGGATGACCTTGAGCCAAGGAGCACAAGATTCCTTCCCTCTTCAGCAGAAGATCTTGGTCTGCTCTTTGATGCTCTTGATCAGGCAGTTGAAAATCAAAGAGGTCACTCTGGGGAAGGTAAGTTGGGATGGAGCAGACACAGCGGAGGTAGAGATCAGAATCTGCTTTGCAGAGCAGGTATTTTCCAAAAGGCCTATGATACTTCAGCTGATATGAATTTAAAATGGATTTTAACAGTAAGAATTAATACTGGTACTCTATAAAAGGCACCTATTTCCCTTGGGTTGTGGTTGAGAGTTTACCATTAATCTTTTCCCCATACTCCCCTTCATTTCTGCATCTCTCTATGAAATACATAAAGCCCCTTTCCTACATTACTGTATAGGTTTTCGGGAATATCTACGGAAGCCTGTTCAAGGATTTTATTGAAAAGAGGAAGAAATAGGGTATTCGGATAAGTTTTTGCAAACCCAGACTCAGGTTTCTTAAATGATTAAAGGCTATAAGCAATGTGACTTTTAAGCAGCATTTGTTCTCCCTTGTTTCCTACCAGTTATATGAAGCCTACAGTAAAGTCTGTCGCAAACAGCAGGTGGCAGCTGTGGACCAGTCAGAGTGTTTGTCACTTTCAGGGCTCTTGGAAGCCAGGGGCATTTTAGGATTAAAGAGAAACAAGGAAACCCGTTTGACAAAGGTACAACTGCTTTTTTGTGACAGAGTTTTTAATTGTTCTATTTTGTAGAGTGATGCTAAAGTAAAGGTTTATTGTTAAACGAGATGACCACAATTAGTTAAACAAGTCGATTTTTGTTAGGTAAGGTTTAAGGTGTATAAAGATGGGAGTGTGATATGAATATTTTTTCAGGCCATTGGAAAAAAAAAGTAGTAGAGACTTTTGTCTTTTGTGAGAAAAGTTTAATATGGTATAAGTTTATGTACTGACAACTTTGCTTTTATGAGTTCTCCAGTGTGAAAAATCCTTTTCTTTTCTTCACAGGTGTTTTTCAAGATTGAAGAGAAGGAAATAGAGCATGCTCTGAAAGATAAAACTTTAATTGGAAATATCTTAGCTACTGGATTGCCTTAAATTCTTCTCCTACACCCCACCTGAAAGTATTCAGCTGGCATTTAGAGAGCTACAGTCTTCATTTTAGTGCTTTACACATTCGGGCCTGAAAACAAATATGACCTTTTTTACTTGAAGCCAATGAATTTTAATCTATAGATTCTTTAATATTAGCACAGAATAATATCTTTGGGTCTTACTATTTTTACCCATAAAAGTGACCAGGTAGACCCTTTTTAATTACATTCACTACTTCTACCATTTGTGTATCTCTAGTCAATGTGCTTGCAAGTGTATAGATCTGTGTAGTGGAATGTGTGTATATTTACCTCTTTGTTTGCTCAAACATGAGTGGGTATTTTTTTGTTTGTTTTTTGTTTTTTGTTTTTGAGGCCGCATCTCACCCTGTTGCCCAGGCTAGAGTGCATTGGCGTGTTCTCTGCTCACTGCAGCATCCACTTCCCAGGTTGAAGCGATTCTCTTGCCTCAGCCTCCCGAATAGCTGGGATTACAGGTGCCCACCACTGTGCCCAGCTAATTTTTGTATTTTTAGTAGAGACAGGGTTTTACCATGTTGGCCAGGCTGGTCTTGAACTCCTGACCCTCAAGTGATCCACCCACCTCGGCCTTCCAAAGTGCTGGGATTACAGGCGTGAGCCACCACGCCCAGCCATGAGTGTATTTTGTTAAGAACTTTGAGGTTAGGGTAAGAAGAATGAAAATGATCCAGAAAAATGCAAGCAAGTCCACATGGAGATTTGTAGGACACTGGTTAAAGAATTTCTTTCTTTTTGGAGTATACTATGTTCATGGTGCAGATACTATGACATTATGGCATTTTAAAGACTCGTTGAGTTTCTTGGGCACTCCCAAGGGCGTTGGGGTCATAAGGAGACTGTAACTCTACAGATTGTGAATATATTTATTTTCAAGTTTCATTCTTTGTATTTTTAAGCAATCAGATTTCAAGAGAGCTCAAGCTTTCAGAAGTCAATGTGAAAATTCCTTCCTAGATTGTCCCACAGTCTTCGCTGCCCTTGGATGAAGCCACTTATTTCAAGATGCTTACTTTGGGGTTGGGTTTTCATCTAAACACATTTTTCCAGTCTTATTAGATAAATTAGTCCATATGGTTGGTTAATCAAGAGTCTTCTGGGTTTGGTTTGGTGGCATTAAATGGCAATTTGTGACTGAGACACCAGAGGGCACCATTATAACATTGACTGCTTTGAAAGGGGATGCTTGAGGCTGAGGTAGTTTTGAGGGAAAGGGGAAAGTTCTAGTTTGATTTGTTTGGGAGATTGCTGTACTTTTATAACTCAAGCAAATGCTTGAAGTGTAAACCATGTGTGATACGAATGATCTGAGAGCCAGTGACCAAGTCTGCTTTTCCCAGAGCTCTCTTGCTGCCGCCTCTACCTTTCTGACATGGCCTTCCATTTGGGAACTTGATATGTGTACAAATGATATGTTGGCCACTGTTTCATTCATCCTGACCACTGTATCCTTGTAATGTGATCTGAACTACAACAGGTGGTATGGGATAGAGGCAGGGAAAGCAGAGAGAGCCCTCTGAAATGAACACTACCCACTGGTGTGTGTAGCACAAGATAGTCTGTAGGCATGAGCCTGAATGTTGTTCTCACACTCCTTTACTAGAGCATTCATTCCCTCTGAAGGCAGTTCGAACATGGAAACACAGTTCTATACCTAGAAGGTTGGAAAGTGTCTGGGAGTATAAGGGTTAACAGGCATAATTGCAAAGATTGTCCAAAGACTGATGGAGAGCAGAGACTGAATGGGATTGAGAACAGATGCGAAGCTTGATTTAAATTACATTTTATTGGATGCTGCAGCCTTAAGAGACGTGACTGCTTTACAGTTTGTTTCCACACTGTGGGCAGCTGCTGTCTGTTCTGTGTCCACAATAGGATCCTGCCCAATAAGGAGCAGCCTCCCCACCTCGTTGTGTTTGAGGCTTGGCGCCTTCGTCTTAACTGTAGGGCTTGAGTCAGGAACATGGCTTGACTCGCAGTGGGGCTGCTATGTATCCTCCCTGGCTTCCAGCCAAAATCACATTGGTAGATTCGAAGGGGCCAAATTTGTTTCCCCTCTATCTCCTTTCTCTCTCCCCTGGTTTTGAAAATAGGGTTTTCTGTCTACTGATTTGTTAGTTTCCTTTTCTTTACTTCTCCCCTTACTGTCAATTTCTAGGTCATTGCTTCTCTTAAGACTTTAGCAATTGGAACAGGGTTGGTTCTGTCAGTGATGCGTGAAGCAGACTTAGTGTCCCTGCTTGGCTTCCGCTGCCCTTGTGGGAGCAAAAACTGATATATATTTGTCAGTAAAGTCTTAAGTGTAATTCAGACTGCTGAGGAAGAAAGCCCTTTTCTTGCTGGCTTTTCTCACTGAAGCTGAGAGCTACAGGAAGGTGGTAGGAGTTTTAGTGGGATGGGATGGGATGGGCTTGTGGTTAGCAGTTTTTGCCACGATCATAGGCTGCTTCACTTAGAGCAGTGGCAAAGATGCTGACCTACATTCTTCCTTTTGAAGGTGATGAAGTGTCTGTCTATATCCTGGTTTATCTCTCACCCCCACCCCAAGGAAGCTGATTAAGCTTCCATAGAGTATTGGATATTGCCATGGAAAGAGCATAGACAAAATAAATTGGTGTGTATTTCAACCCCAGAGCTGCCACAGACATTTCTGGCTCAATGGAGACTTGCTTGTGGCTAGCTAACTCTGCAAGAATGTGTGAGGTCCAGGCTGGGCGTGGTGGCTCACGCCTGTAATCCCAGTACTTTGGGAGGCCGAGGCAGGTGGATCATCTGAGGTCAGGAGTTTGAGACCAATCTGGCCAACATGGTGAAACCCTGTCTCTACTAAAATAAAGTAGCCAGGCATGGTGGCGTGTTCCTGTCATTCCAGCTACTGGAAGGCTGAGGCAGGAGAATGACTACAACCCGGGAGGCAGAGGTTGCAGTGAGCCGGGATAGCACCATTGCACTCCAGCTTGGGCGACAGAGTGAGACTGTCTCAGAAAAAAAAAAATGCCGGGTGCGGTGGCTCATGCCTGTAATCCCAGCACTTTGTGGGGCCAAGGCAGGCGGATCACTTGAGGGTCAGGAGTTCAAGACCAGCCTGGCCAACATGGCGAAACCCTGTCTTTACTAGAAGTACAAAAATTCACCTGGCACCGTGGTACACACCTATAATCACAGCTACTCGGGAGACTGAGGCAGGAGAATTGCTTGAGCCTGGGAGGTGGAGATTGCAGTGAGATGAGATCATGCCACTGTACTCCAGCCTGGGTGACAGAGTAAGACTGTCAAAAAATAATGTGTGAAGTCCAATCTACCCAGGGATCAAAAAGTTGGCAGAGCCTTATTCTCTCTGAGCCCCCCGTTTGCATTCCTCCCTATCTTTACTAAGTGTCCCTTTGAATATACATCAGGCCAGGTGTGGTGGCTCATGCCTGTAATGCCAACACTTTGGGAGGAGGCAGCAGCGGGAGGATTACTTGAAGTCAGGAGCTTGAGACCAGCTTGGGCCACATAGTGAGACCCCCCCTTACCCTTCTCTACCAAAAAAATCTTAAAAATTAGCTGGGCATGGTGGCATGCACCTGTAGTCCTAGCTACTCGGGAAGCTGAGGTGGGAGGATGCTTTGAGCCCAGGAGTTCAACTCGGCATGGGCTGTGATCACACCACTGCATTACAGCCTGGGTGACAGAGTGAGACCCTGTCTCTAAAAGTAAAAGACAGAAAGCAGATACACCAATAAGAATGAGAAGTTGGGAATAAGATGTGACTTTGTGACTTCGGTTATATATATATATATTATTTTTTTTTGTAAAGCTGAATCTCGCCTCTGTCACTCTGACTGGAGCAGTGGTGCGATTCTCGTGCTCACTGAAAGCTCCACCTCCAGGTTCCGGGCCATTCTCCTGCGCCTCAGCCTCCTGAGTAGCTGGGACTACAGGTGCCCACCACCACGTGCCCGGCTAATTTTTTCTGTATTTTTAGTAGAGACCGGGGGCTTCACTGTGTTAACCAGCGATGATCTCGATCTCATGGACCTCGTGATCCACACCGCCTCCGGCCTCCAAAGCGTGCTGTGGATTACAGGCTTGAGCCACCATGCCTGGCTGGTTATATATTTTTAAAGAATATCTTGTTGAGAGGTGTTAACCTTGACTGCTGAGGGAGAACAAAAGAGAGCCAAGATTGAAATTTTATTTACATTTGTATCTGTCCCTAGCAATTAGCGTAGTGCCTAATACCTGGTAGGTACTCAATAGTTGCTGAACAGATAAATTAACCAAATAAGATGCTGCCTTTTCCTCCACGGTGAGAACAGTTCCAAGGTGAAGGTAAATGTTGGTACTTTTGCACAAAGGTGGAGCAGGCCTCTGCATAAGAAGGGTGCTCTGTCTTAGAAAATGTGTCTTGGCACAGTTTTGGAGCATTAGCCTCACAGATGCATTCCAATCACTCCCTCTGATGTAGTGGCATTTTGCTTGAGGCAACTTCCATGTTGCTGGTGGGACGCTTTGGCTGTGCGGGGAAGAGTCTCACCTACAGGCTGGCAAGAGGGCTGCCTGTCTGGATGTTACGCAGTGTGGCTAGATTGGCTAGAAGTTGGGTCTGTAGGCAAGGGTTTAGGGAGAAGCCCATCTTTGATGTCCCACTTTTTTTTTTTGAGACGGAGTCTCGCTCTGTCGCCCAGGCTGGAGTACACTGGTGCGATCTCGGCTCACTGCAAGCTCCGCCTCCCGGGTTCACGCCATTCTCCTGCCTCAGCCTCCTGAGTAGCTGGGACTACAGGTGCCCGCCACCACGCCCGGCTAATTTTTTGTATTTTTAGTAGAGACGGGGTTTCACCGTGTTAGCCAGGATGGTCTCGATCTCCTGACCTTGTGATCCGCCCGTCTTGGCCTCCCAAAGTGTTGGGATTACAGGTGTGAGCCACTGCGCCCTGCCTGATATCCCACTTTTTAACTTGGGGAAAGTTGTGATCTCAGGTTCCTCCTGAAAAGATAAGGTACCTTCTAAGATACCTTCTCTTAAGCTACAAACAGTGCAGGTCTTCCTCTTAGAAGCAGTGTGTTCTGTAAGGGGAGAAGGTGTGCCCTCTGGCCTCCCCTTGATTTTCAACCCCAGCCCCAAGGCACTGGCAGTGGAAGTTAATTGGGTGCAAGGGGCTTGGGTAAAGGCTGAAGACTGGCGAAAGGAGAGAGCCAGCTTCGTTTTTTAAAAAGCTCTAATTGAGTTCTGAATCAGCCTCACTCCCTTTGATCCCTCCTCTGTTTCCCACACTGCCTGAAAGAGCTAGATCAGCACTTTATAACAAGGGTGCGCCTGCTCCCCGCACCGCCCCCCCTCTCCTGACGCTCTCTGCTGCCGCCATCCACTGCTTGTCTCCTTCAGTTAAGATAATGAAGATGCTGAGAGATAAAATGTGTATTTAATAAGGGTGGGGGTAGGGCGGCGGAAAGGGGCAACCAGGGCCTTCCCTAGTTTGGGGCCTCGCCAAGACTTAAGCTGAAAGCAAAGCTAGAGTAAGACTTGGCCCCAGGGTGTGGGGGTTTCTGGGCCTCAATCCAGCTGACTTCACTGCCTGCTGTTTGCCCTAAATTCCCCCACCTCCACCCTCTCACCCCCACACTGCTTTCTTCTTGCTCCCAATGGGAAAAAGGACTCTTGCTTCGACTTTCTTTTCAGCTGGTAACTTGGCCTTTGGTGCGGTGCCCCCCACCCCAGTGTCAGCTGCAAGGTCGGGCTAGGGCAGCCCCCTCTAGCCTAGGCCTGTAGAAGCTGTGGGTTCACAGTGGGGGGTGAAAAAGCTGGAGTTAATGAAGACCAGCTGCTAGTCTGGGTTCTGCCTACAGCTAGCTGGAGGCCGGCCTTTGGTGGTGGTTGATGGGGGGTGGGGTGA